GTAGAATTCAAGTTGGTTGGTTGAAGTGGAGGAATGCTTCGGGCCTTTTGTGTGATAGAAAAGTATCGCTTAGACTGAAAGGAAAATTTTATAAGATGGTGGTGAGACCTGCAATGCTCTATGGCGCTGAATGTTGGCCTTTAAAAGAGAAGCATAATAATAAGTTAAGTGTTGCCGAGATGAGAATGATTAGGTGGATGAGTGGCTTTACACTTAGAGACAAAATGCGGAATGAATATATTTGTGATAGGGTTGGTGTAGCTCCTGTGATGGACAAAATTAGAGAAAGTCGTCTTAGATGGTTTGGTCACATTAAACGTCGACCATCTGATGATCCGATTAGGAGAGTAGATGTTTTAGATTCGACTTGTATTAAGAAATGAAGAGGTAGACCCAGAAATACTTGGGCTTATTGTATTAAAAATGATCTAAATTTACTAGAACTAAATGAAAATATGACACTGACTAGGACGCAATGGAGAAAAAGGATTCATGTAGCCGACCCCACATAGTGGGATTAAGGCTTTGTTGTTGTTGTTGAATACATGTTTACAGCCAATCACACGGAGTAATGCATTATATTTGAGTTTATAGGCTTTTACCCTCTTTCAATGATTTGTAACTTCCATATCTGCAGCTGCACTTTGTCATAATGAATGTGGCATGATTTTTCTTTCTCCCACGTTGTCGGATTTATGATCGTACTGCAGCACTTAATCGTATCATGAGGGCATGCAACTAACTTAGTGTTACAGGATTTTTGTGCATTTGGAGTCTGTTACAACGAGCACTAAGTTGCTTTTATTTTCTTAGGGAATTTAAAAATTCTTCTTGTGCTACTGACCTGAAATGTTGGTTTATTTAGTGAAAGTAGGTCATATACATTGCCGTTTATGGATGCAGCTTGTAGTGGTTTGATCCTACACTTCATTTTATCAAACTGTCGCATGATTGCTATTGCAGTATTTCACTAATTGATGCACTTGATTTATTACGGTGTAACTAATGCTTTAAAGTTTTCTTATGCAGTTATATACATCATTTTTTGGTATATTCTCTTTTTTCCTTTTTCGGGAACATGAATATGCTTGTTGGATTCTGAAATGAATTTGTCTTTTCTAGGTTTGAAACTCCTGATGAGATCCTAAAATGGCTGTTAAAAACAAATTCAAGCTATTTGCACTTGTGGGAATCGCCTTCTGTATAGTGTCACTGCTGGTACATCTTCTGCTTGCAAATTATTCAGCCGGGGACATCATACAATATAGGCCAACTGTAGATAAGATATACCAGCATGGAAAGGTACGTTTGTGGTTGCTCCAGTTTCTTTATCTACTGCAATTTCCAGGGATTCCTTCTTAACTTTTGGGTTAAATGAGCCATTGCTGGTGGAAGTAATTCATCTTCTTTACACCCAATAATTCTTTTTTCTTGATAAGTAAATTACTGTTCTTGCTGTACTGATTTTTTGTTCTTTTTTAAATGCTTTGCAGAAGTTTAGGTACAGAAAGTTATGGGGTTCAATCCAATCTTTGGAGGCCTTGCAACCATTTGCCAACCCTAGGAAAGCTTATCCTGGTATTTATTCATAAAATTGCTAACTTCATGAATGCAGACAAGAATTTAATCCTTTTATGCTCTCGCATATCGCATGTCTTTGAGGATGCTCTAGTGTGTTGTCATGCTTGTTCATATGTTACCTACTTCTTCTTGATCACCGTGTCTCCTGCCTCATCTATGTGTTTGTGCTTGTAATCTTGGCTTCACTCTCATGCCTACAAGTTGGTACTTGTTTCATCTTCACTTCTGCATATGGACTTTCCATGCTTTTCCCATCCCTAGCCTTAATATCGCTGCCTGATGGCTTCATTGTTTGGATTGTCTTTTGCTCTAGCTCTGGTAGGGCATTCATTGTCAGCCTCTCCTGCACCTAGGTTTGTAGTGTTGCCTTATCCTTCCACCTATTATTTATTTCTATTCTTCCTCTCACCTTCTACACCATGCTTTTTCACTTCTTCTAACTCAGGTTTATGACAAGGTTGCGTTTTTGACTTCCAATTTGGATCATATTCCTTTTTTGTTTTGTCGATGTTTTGTTGGACACTGCCTCTTCTTTCTCAAGCATTGGCTGCTGCTAGGATTTTGGGTGAAGCCAAAAGTAGATCAGCACCTCCCATCTCGTTGATATTTTGCTTCTCAGAGGCTCATCTAGCTTACTCTCTTATGGAACTGGTCCCTCCAAATACTCAACCTTTTTGCTCTTTTGCTAATGTTGTTGGTGGACAGGATGATCCAAGATTTCATTTATCCCCATCAAACAATTAATTCTCTTTGTTTTTTTAATCAAAGATTGATTATCACTTCTTTTAAGCATCCATCCCCATATCAGGGGAAACCTGCTCCAATTTTCATTGAAGAGGAGATATCATACCTTGCTATGGCTTTCCTTCTTTTTATTATTAACAAATTTTTATTGGGTCCTCCCAATCTGGAATTTATTTACAAATTTATTGTTGATTTGCTTTTAGTTATAGACCACTCCGTTGGGCTTATTTACCCTTGACATGTTATTATTATACTTCTCAGAAGCAGGTTATATGAGATTTTTCTCTTGCAGTTCTACTATCTAGTGATTTTGTGATGCATATTTTAAATGGTCTTTTCATTTTGACTCTTTTGAGGAATCATCCATCACTTCAGTTTGAATTACATTTAATTTTCTTAGATTATTTCAATCAATCAGACTTTATATTTTTTGGCTATATATTTGGAAAATATTAACAAGTGAATAATGTTATTGTTAATCTTTGGAGGCCATTTGTAGCAAAAGTTTTTGTTTAACTAAATAACACTTGTCAATTAGAAAAGGAGGTGTGGATTGACTCCTTGATTTGGGGATATTGATAGTTGAATTTGAAAGCATCATTGTATTTCATTTTTGCCTGTAATTTTTTTTAGCACAAATTATCTAAATGTTTCAAGCATTATCAAGATTTGAGAAAATTTAATTATGCGCAAGAGGCACCTTAGAATGATTGAATCGAAGCCTCTAACATTTTGGGGGATTCTCCTTCATTAATACAAGGTCTGCAATCAGAATTTGGAATTAGTTTAGATTATTCTTTGGAGTAAGGGGCTTTAAGGCCTGCACCTGCTAACCCTACCGTGGCAATCACATCAACACCTACAAGCATCAACGTTAATCTTTCTTCTATTATTACTGCAATGCCTCACTCTTATTATGTGAGCACAACTATCATTTGGATATTCTACATGGTTTTTGTTAAGATGCGAGTAACCAGAGTGTTGACTCTTTGGAGGATAGGGGGTTTTAGAGTCTATTTGCCAGATGATGCAAAATTGAGGAAAAATAATCTATTGTCATTCACTTACTCTTGCTAGGCTCTTTAAGCAGGGCGATCTGAATGTGTCTATTTGTAGTTCTCATATTCATCAGGATTTCTCATCTGTGGCTATCATGTTTTCTTTATCTTATCTTGTATACTTCTCTCTCTCTTGGGCAGTTCTTGGTAATTGCCTTTGTTATACTCATACCATTTTGTAATTGTTAAATTTTGACTTTTAAAAAGCATGACATTGTTAACTTAATTTGTTTTTTGTCGACTTTATTGCAATTCTACCTCGCAAGTCTTTGTCGTCTTTATTGCAATTCTACCTTGCAAGTCTCAGAGGGTCCCTTCCCTGATCCATCTACGTTCTTGTGGAATTTGTAGAATGACTTTGTAGGCTTTTCTACTTTTCTTCTACATTCATATCAATTAGCTAGCACTTGGGAAGATGGTTTTCAGATTACTGGTTTAAAGCAACGTTAAAATTTTTATTTTTTCGTGCTTGCTCAATCCCTGAGCCTGCAATGCAAATTTCATCATCTATTGCAAATTACATTTTGATTTATGTAAGTTCCATTATGTCCGGCGAGTTAGTTACCTGATGCAATGGCCGCCTTTGAAGCTTCTCTTAGCTAGCATCACCTGTAAAGCTGACAACAGTTTGCAGGATTAGTTTGCTAAACTTTCCTTAGAAATGTAATTATTTAGTTCCCCCTTAGCATCAGTATGAAGTTGGGAGTGACTCATGAAACATTTTCTTTTTTTATTTTATTTTATTGACAAAAATTTTAGTGTAAGGACTTTAGTTATGAATCAAATGGTTTTATTTATTGATGAAGCATTTATGAGCTTAGCTCAGTTTGGGGTGTAGTTCACATCTTTCACAAGGAGGTGGGATTAGTACAACTGCCGCATGAGATGCTCTTTATATGCCAGCTTAATTACTTTCATTTATATATTCTGAATGAATATATAGGGAAATTTACACACGTAGCACACAACTACTATGTTTTTACATATCTCACACTCAAACTTTCAGGTTTACATTCATTTCACTTAGCTGCGTTAAAATGCATGAAATGTCGTATTTCACTTTTGAAAAGTGGTAATAATAATATTTTTTATGTGATATTAAAGATTTGAGTGCTATATGTGCAAATATGAAAGTATTGGTTTGAGCTATGTAAATAGATAAGAATTGTGTGCTATGTATGTAAATGCCCCTTATATTTACTGGTCGAGGTATTAGTGTGATCTGGATGAGTTATTGAATCGGGAGGTTATATTTGTCCTACATAACGTGAACTGTTGATGTTTCTGCGGGCACTCTTAAGTAATGTCGTACCTTTAAATCTACTGAAGCAACATATAGTTATTGAAAATTTTCATTCCAGGCTTGTCACACTGCCAACAGTTGACTAGAAACTTGCTATATGTATTGCATGTTTGGTTCACTTATTAAACCCGGACATTCGTCAAATTTACTCAATTTATTTGGATTTGGATTTAAGATATCATTATGTTGGCTATTTGCTTCTCTTTTTGAATGTAAAATTTTCACTTAGCATGATATACTTTTTGTAACTTCTCTCATGCTACTTTACCGGGTTACAGTTCCAGGAAAACAAAATGGTTTTATATATGCGAAGATATATGGCGGATTTGATCAGGTTAAATCTTCGGTAGGCCACTTTCATTCAGGGTTCTTTTTTTTTTATTTGAAATTTCTCAATTGTTTGGTCATCACTTCTTCATAATCGTCAGATTTGTGATCTCGTTGCTGTTTCAAGATTGCTAAATGCCACTCTTGTCATTCCCGAGATTCAGGACAGTATTCGCTCCAAAGGAATTAGGTAATTTATGCAATGGAATTCCTCGGATGTTAATCAGTCTTCTGTTTTTGTGGTGGACTTCTTCCAATCTCTCTTTCTCCCCTTTTTTTTTCTTCATGCAGTTCCAAGTTTAAGAGCTTTTCTTATGTGTTTAATGAGGAGCAGTTCATAGCCGCGCTATCAAATGACCTGATTGTTGTGAAGAGTTTACCTAATGATCTTAGACAAGAAAGGAAAAGGAACAAGCATCCAACCTTTTCAATCAGATATTCAGCTTCCCCAAGCTTTTATATCAAAGAAGTATTACCTAAACTGAAGCAATCAAAGGCTGTTGGCTTGTTGATTTCTGATGGTGGATGCCTTGAGGTATTTTAAGGATACTAATGGCGGAAAATAACTTTTTTGTATTCATTTAAATTATTTTAATTCCGCTAATAGGCAATCCTATAGTTGTTTCCTTAATTTTCATATTCATCAGCTATACATGTCTATATTTCTGCATTGGTATTTTTTAAAACTAGGGCGCTTTGAATTTTTAGCTTAATTAAGTACTGGTGATGGCGTGGCAATGGAGGGGGGCATGAAGATTAGAAGTTCTGGAGTGCATAAAGGCTGGAACAATAATGAATAGAGATGAAAATGTTGAGTGGGCAATGATACTGAAAAGGATAGCAAATTTTATCCTTATTACAGAAGCAGCTGGCGGATTACTTATTGTGCAGCTTTTTAGACGATAGCTTGTTAGAGAAATGTGGTTTATGTTAGGCTGGTTTGAGTTTACTCAAAGGAGTAGAAGATGGACTATAAATGAGTAAACTGTGGTTCGGAAATGGTGGGCTAATTTGTGGAGGAAATTTAATAATTCGATAGAATAATACTTGAATTCATAATTTGAATTTGACCATTGAATTCAAAAGATAGTATATGGTGGAGAAATTTTAGAAAGGATGAGTAGGAGCACAATGGAATTTGTAGGCTTGAGTTTTAATTTTGATGGGAGCACTTGTTGAGTATTTTAGGTGGCCGGCCACGCACTTTTAGGAGGAGAATAGGCTTGTGTTTCATCACATGTAGCTTGCAAAAGAACTATGCGTTCAAATCATGCTTAATTGTAAGATGGAGTGGGCCTTTATCAAAATTTTCAGAAGAAAAAGTGAGAAAACTCAGAGGGAGTAGTAAAGTATGGGAAGAACGCAAAAACAGGAGGTGTGGAGTACATGAAACAAACATATGAACAAAATAGAAGCAGTTATAAAATGTTAATGCAAAGAGGCATAATATGATTCTAAACACGATCTAAGAGTTATTTGGATGGTGAGGAGGCTGGGGGCTGCTTTAAACATGGAAGAAATTGGGGAGGACAGTTGTGATGTATAATGGAGAGGAGCTTTTTATCTAGAGAAGACTTCCCAACTATCTCATATCACTTCTGACTCGATCACAGAGATTACTTTTCATTTATACCACAGGAAGGCAGAGGGTTTTTATTAGATTTGGTGGCTAACGTCTTTTAGGAGTAAGAATCCACTGATCTAATCAACAAAATTTAAAAGTGGATGCTGTTAGGCAGGATCCTCATGGACCAGCCTGGCCTGCCAAGGCCGCTGGCTCAGCCTAAGGTGGCTGAAACCACCTGGGAGAATTCCAGCCCCCAGATGGGACTCGGTAAACCATTAATCACGTATGTGAGGATCGCATGGGAGAATTCCAGCCCCTTGGTGGGGCTTGTTAAGCTGTTTAATTGCGTATGTGAGCAGAGGAATTAAAGGGGGTTTTGGGGGGAAAATTTGAATGTGTTTTGAAGGGAACATTTGAATGTGATTGGGAGTGTTTATTAGAGATAATCACCTAGGGTTTGTTTTTATATTTGAGTTCCTGCAATTTTCTTTGTCTTCTTGTTCCTAGCGGCATTTAGGGTTGTGGAGAGATGTTCTACGTCTGGAATTGTAGTTTACCCTCTATGTCTTGTTTGTTTGCTTGAAAACTAATCAAATTAGTCCTAATTTGTGTTTTCCCACATATTTCTTGCAATTGATTTCCAAATTCTGGCTCTAATTTGTATCAAATTGGTATCATAGCAAGTTCTTAAAGAGATTGCAAGAAAAGAAAGTTGATATTTTAGAAGAGAGATTAGAAGTAGGGAAAATTAAATTCGAGTAGGAGGAATTGTTCTTGACCATGGAAGGAAGGTTTTCATATGTGGAAAATCGATCCGTGGGCTTAGAGGAGACGACGGGGAGACTTATTGAGATGCAATATAAAACCCCATTGGAAATGTAAGGTTGGGTGTGAGGGGAAGTTGGGGTGGAGATGCCAGGGTTACGAAGTTGAAGTTGTCGTTTTTTTAGGATGAAGGCGCACAAGGTTGGGTGTACCGGGTGGAGCGATATTTTGCAGTGCATTGGCTAAATGAGGAGGAAAAGCTCATGGCTGCAGAACTACACTTGGAGGGGAAATCCCTAATAAGGTTTCAGTGGAGGAGGCTAGATAAATTTAATATTAGTTGTTAGAATATTTCCGAGCCATTTAGAAAGGATATTTACGTAAGCAATTCCTTGCCTTGACCTTGGAGGGGACTTTCATGGAGTATAGATGGGGATTTGAGTTATTGTCGGGATGACTGAGGGAGATTTCTGAAGCAATGTTTAGAAGGAATTTCATGAAAGATCTATAGCCGGACATACGTGCTACCTTCCGTTTGTTGAGACCTTGGGGATTGGAGGAGATGATAGAGCTAACTCAGATGGTGGAAAACAAGAACCATATAGAGAGGGCTAATAAAAGCAACTCTATAGTAGGGTCCATAGGAGTATCTCAATGACCCTAACATCAAGGGCCCAGACAACGTCATTTTAGAGGGAGGCGACGAAGTAGAGGAATTTGGGGGCCCGTCTTGGGGTCAGCTTCAAGCGCCTCACGGAGGCAGAGATTCAAGACAAAAGAGCAAAGGGATTATGTTTTTAATGTGATGAGAAGTATGCGCTTGACAACCGGTGCATAGATCGCTCACTCTAAGTCCTTACAGTTTGTGATGGGGAGGAGGCAAATAGTGAGTTGGAGGAAAAAAAAGAGGGATAGGAGCTTTTACACCTTGATGTAGCGGATGTATCCATCAACACAGTGATGAGATTTACTCCAAATCACTCTTTGAAGGTGAGGGAATAGATCGGGGAGTAGACTCTAGTGGTATTGGTGGATAGCAGGGCCATTCAAAACATCATCTTAAATCGGGTCGAGGATCTGTTGGGGTTGCAGTTGGTAGATATAGGAAGTTTTTGGGTCATGATGGGGGACATGGAAGGTGGAGAAAAACTAGAAAATTTGCATGGGATTGGTGTTGACTCTACAGGGCTTATAGGTGGTGGAGGTTTTTCTTTTCTTAGACTTTGTAAGTGCTGGTGTGGTCATGGGGATGAAGTGGTTGCAGACTATTGAAGAGATGAGGGTGGATTGGAAATCTCTGACTATGGAGATTAGGGTGGAGGGGAGGAAGGTGGTGTTGAGGGGGAATGCTAGCTTTTGCAGAACCATGTTCTCAATCAAAATCACGGTCAGGATGATATGACGAGCAGGATTGAGCTATTTGGTGGAGTTGCAGAGTTTAGATGAGATCTCAGATCCAGAGTTTGCGAGTGTTTAACTGCTTCTGCAACAACTTTCTGACATTTTTCAGTAGCTCAGTAGGTTACCTGCATCGAGGGAGCAAGAACATGCCATTACATTGAAGGAAGTAGTTCCTTCTATTAGTGTAAGACCGAATCGATATCCCCAGATTTAGAAGAACGGGATAGAGAGATTTGGATTATGGAGATGCTCGAGGTAAGGATTATCATGCCCAATGTGAGAATTATTTCTAGTCCAGTTTTATTGATGAAGATTTATGATAGTTGGAGGCTTTGCGTTGATTATAGGGCTCTGAACATGGAAACTATTCTGGATTAGTTTTCAATTCCAATGATTGATGATCTGTTAGATGAGCTTTTTGGAACAATCATTTTTTTGAAGATTAATCTGAAGTTGGGATACCGTCATATCAGTATAAAGCTAGCTGATGTGTATAACACAACTTTCAAGACTTATGAAGGATATTATATATTTTTTATGATACCATTTGTCCTTACCAACGCTTTGGCCAAATTCAATCTCTCATGAACAAGTTTTTAGCCTTCCCTCAGGAAGTTCGTTTTAGTATTTTCTGATGACATATTGATTTACAGTTGTACATAAGCAGAGCGTATGAGACACCCAAGGACAATACCTAAGGCTCTGAGAGAGCATCAGTTGCATGCCAACCTGAAGAAATTCTCTTTTTGCACTATCACAGATGGAGTACATAGGGTATTTGGTGACAAGAGCAGGGGTGGTAGCAGAACTATTTAAGATTGAGGCCATGTTGGACGGGCCTTTCTCTAGTATTCTGAAAGTGTTGGACGGGCCTTTCTCTAGTATTCTGAAAGAGTTGAGAGGGTTCTTAGATCTCACTGTGTATTACTAGAAATTTGTAAGAGGGTATGACACTATTGCATCGCTGCTGACGGAGCAGTTGAAAAAAAACAATTTCAAATAATGGAACAGTGACAGACATTCGAACTGCTGAATAGAGACATGGTTAGTGTGTTAGTGTTAGCACTTCCAGACTGTTGTAGGTCATTTGTGATAGAGACAGATGCATCAGGATATGGATTGGGGACAATACTCATGCAAGGCCAATGAGCTATTGTTTATGTCAATCAGGTGCACAGCTAAGGCAAGGCTCAAGTTTGTATATGAGCGGGAGCTGATGACTATTGTCTTGGACATTCAGAAGTGGTGTCCCTACTTATTGGGATGCATTTTATAATTAGGACATATCGGAGGAGCTTGAAGTATTTATTGGAGTAGAGGATGGTGATTGTGGGGCATCAGAGGTGGCTATCCAAGTTACGCTTAGGACCGGAGAATATGGCCGCATATACTCTATATAGGAAGGTGAAGGAGCCCTACCTGACAACTTTATCAGTACCCATGATCTTAGATGGAAAAATATTGAGGTAGAAAAGTGAACAGGATGAGGGATTGAGGAAGATCAAGACAAAGTTGAGAAAGGATCTGGATAGTCATCTAGGATATGCATTGAGGGGGCAAACTACTCCACTAAGGTCGATCGTGTTACCGAGCGCATTAAAGTGCATCCCCAATTTGTTGCTGGAGTTTAACGACATCACGATTTAGGTGCACTCATGGGTACAGAAGACAGTTGATTGTCGGTGGAGTTATATTGGGTGGGGATGCGAAGATATGTAGAAGACATGGTGGGGAAATACGATATTTGCCAACGACACTAGTAATTGACTATGACACTGGGAGGGCAATTGAAACACCCCTAA